CACTGCATGGCCAGATAAGCTACATATAGAAAGGAACTATATTTACTGATTTAATATACAAATGGATCCAAATAATAATATAAAATAAATAAATATCATCAAACAATAACGAGTCAATTAAAAGAACATGGAAATGAAAACAAAATGTAGAAAAAGGATCGACATGATCCAAGTCTATCGGCTGCTAGTCGTTCGTAGCACTGGCCACCGATATAAGCCTTGTCACAACCTGCAGGAGACTGGGATAGATTATATGGTCCATGAACAGAATTATTATTATTCTTCTTCTTATTATTATCACAATAAGATAATACAATATCATAGGCTGGCGGGGGAAGAAAACAAGGCAAATCAGATCCGGTCAAATAAAAATGCAGGCCATCTCTCTCTCCCACTGGGTTCATCTCCATCTTCCTGATCTTCCTGCTCTATCTTTCTGGTCGATTTCCTGGTCCCCCTGTCTTCCACTTCGATCGAGGAACCATTTATTCTTCTTTTTTCACTCCATTACTTCCGTCTCTAACTATATTATCGATTTATTGTTTTCTTTTCTCTCCGTTGGGAAACCCGCGTGTGATCCGGCCGGAACTTTACGCCTCACTTCCCACTATACTTCACCGTCCTTTCTCCCCTTCTCTTCCTTTTCTCCTCTCTCAGACAGTTCACTCGAATAGTCTGCATTGGACGGACGGGAGCCTCGTCATTCCAGTCAGCATATCATATATACCCAACCTTGGAGGGAGAGAAGGTCAACAAAATACAGACCATCGTGCATGATCCTCGAAAAGTAAGGTCTTTTTTTACTTGATGTGATTTTTCTCCACTATTTTCCATGGTTTTTCTTTTATTGCTTTGTTTTTGTTAGTCTCTTGCTTTCCCTATTTCTTTTTTCTATTTTATTATTTTGTTTTTTTCCTCCGATATTTCCCAGTTCTGCATTGGATTCCGTGGGCCCCGTTGATCGCCCACCATGATGCAATAAATCATCCCCAGGAGGTCGACCATCCAACTTGGAAAAATGATAAAAGAAGAAAAAGAAAAATAATAAAAAAAAGACACGATCTGGCTGAACCCTCTGCCGATCGACAACTTCCTAACTTCTGACTCCTCCAATCGCAGATCCAGGACGGACGGATTATAAGCTCCTGTGGTCCTCGCATCCCCGATCAAAGCGTGGCGTGGGTGGTTTCAATGATGACTGGCGACTGAACAGCTCACCCCAAACACCGCAATCCCTATCCAGGAAGCTCAACCCTTGTTCCCTCTCCGTATATGGTCACCTGGACGCCCAGCGATGCTCTTGTCGATTCCACGCCCGATTTCTGTCCGTGTCCCGTCGCTCTGAGCCCGCATCCCCGTCCGACTGAGGCGCTGTCCATGCTGCCCCGATGCAATCAATAGTCCTCCCCCCTTCCTCCTTCATCACTCCAGACTTCGGACACCCGAGATTTCTCCCAGGCCCGGAGCGGCTCTCTTTCAATCGGACCCGGTCAGCCAATGCTCGTCGCTGCAGTCCCCGGGACCTCCCACTCCCCCGCCCCATGTCCGGCTCGGTCCAAGCAGAAGACCCGCTGGAAACCACCGGGGATGCCAGACGCCCTCCGGACCGTTGTCAACCTCCTGCCGATCCAGCGGCCGTCGCCTCCGCGGGACTGACGGGTTCCATCCTGACCGCGGCGGCTCCCGCCGCCCCGTCCACGGCCCACGAGCCTGCCTTGCAGCGAGTCATCGCGACCCCGGCCGACAACCTGCCCCGGCAGCCATTTCATGCCTTTGATCCGTTCGCCTCGCGAGCCCCCATCTCATTTTCGGGGCACGGTCCGACGCACTCGTCGGCGTCGGCGTCGGCCTATCCACCCATTCCGTTCGGGGCCTCGTCGCCGGGGCCGTCCTCTCGGACGCTGCCGCAGAAGCCCACCCGGCGGACAAAAGCGCACGTCGCATCCGCGTGTGTCAACTGTAAGAAGAAGCATCTCGGGTGCGATCCCGCCAGACCGTGTCGGAGATGTGTGTTGTCGGGAAAGGAGGTAAGTCATTCGTCCCTTGCATCCTTAACGTGAGCAACGCCTGTCGATCGTCGGGCTAAGAGAGACACACAGTCAACGTGCGTTGATGTCACGCACAAGAAGCGAGGGAGACCTCCCTTGAAAGCAGAAGAGACGTCCCTCCGGACGTACGCCCCGCAAATGGAGAACGCCCCCGCTGGACACCACGGCATACAATCCCGACGAACCCACATGCACCGGGCGACGTCCTCACGCGAGATCCGACCCATGACAGATCTGCAGATTCCAGGTGGCCCGATGGGACCGCGGGCTGCGGCACCCCCCCCTCACCGCTGGGCGCCGGGGATGTACCCACACGCCGTGGACCCCGCACTCACGATGCAGAGAAACATAGGGCATCGGCGGTTTTCGTCCTCGGGCTCCGCGCATTCCTTCACCGCGGCGTCACCACCGGCCTTTGTCCCCATGGCAGGTGGCGGCTACAGCCCAGCCCTAGCCCAGGGGCGCATGCCCGCCGGGGTGGGACGATCGCTGTCGTCGTACGGCGCCCCAGCCCTGCAGCCATCCACCTCACCCCCACAGTACCCGCAGCCCTACAGCGTGCCGATGTCCCCGTACGCCGAGCCGTCTCGCATGACAAACCGGCTGTCGATGGGCGAGCCGCCCATGCAGCGGGATCCGCGCGAGTCCTACCTCGAATCCCCCGTTCGACTGCCCCCGATCTACCCGCCGACCATGGCCCATCCCAGCCCAGGAAGCCAGGGCCATGGCCATCGCCTAAGTGATCCTTATCAGCCCGTATGGTCATCCCCGCACAGTCGCGAGGAGCTATACCACCATCACCACCATCATCACCACTACCCACCCCATCCCCACCACCACCAGGAGCTAGAGCAGCGACAAGCGCCACCTCCACCGCCGGGGATCATGGACCCGATCTCGCCGCAAAGTCAGATGCGTCAGGCGGCTGCTGACCTGGGTTACGGAGAGACGATGCCGCGGCCAATAGAGCCGATGCCGTCAACGACACCCCGGCATTCGGTAGACTTGTCGAGCGGGCGGGCACGGGACGAACCGCCAAGCGGAGACGCGGACCGGCCCGCCAAACGGCGCAAGATGGCTTTAGACGACATGGTGAATGGTTAGCCTGCATTATTCTTCCCTCAATCGAGACTCCTATGGAGTCGACCATATGACGCAACCCTCTATCCGCCTTCAATCAGATAAAGCACACCCGGAGAGCAAATCCAAAGATGCAAGACGCCTTTTCAACGCATGTAGCAGGATCTACAGCACCACAACACCAACCAGCTGATTACAAGGAACACCACGGTTAACGATACCCACTATCTACCTACTAATGTGTACTTTCAATACACTATCCTCTCTTTGTTTATCTGAGCGACCACCATCGAGTACTATTACTACACGCATATACAACAGCTATGTACGGATTAGCATTGGCAGCGACACCACTATTACCAGCACTACTCATTTACTGCACTATCTACCTATAGATAATTTCCTTTGTTGATTTCCTTACTGTCCTTTAGTTCCTTCAGTCTTTGGGTTCTTCAAACTTTATGGTTTCTTTCCATGTTTGGGTTTCTTCTGTTAGGTGTTGAGCTAGATACCTCTGCTTTTCTTTTTCTCTTTCTTTATATCCGCATGGAATATTTCCTTTGTTTTTCTTTCATCTCTTCTCCATGCTCTCTTGTTGTTTTATTGTTGATTGCAAGATTCAGCGTGATTATATTGCATCATCTTTCTACGCTGCATCTACTACACTGCATCTACTACACTGCATCTGTCTACACTCCTACATCGCATATATTATATACCTGCATCACAGCCTCTCCATCTAGTTAGCCTCCTGATTGCATCATGATCAACACACTACATCACACCACCATACGCCTCCATTTGCATTGCATATCCCATCTCCCAACGACCCACTCACTCGGTTATAAACGCGAGCCAAAGCAAAAACATCTACCATATCATCTAGAAAGCACCACCCTATCAACAACAACACCAGAAGAACAGTCAGTCAATCAGTCAGTCATTACCACCTACCTGCCTGTCTGCCTGCCTATCTATCTATCTACCCATCTACCTACCTACCTACCTACCTACCTACCTATGGCACACATCCATACCTCGCATTTGTGGATCCTCGCATCGGTGTTTGTGGGAGTCTTTTGGCTGGTTGCTTTGCTTGGTTGGTTATGTGGCTGGCTGGGCATCTTCCTATAGGTACTTACATGTTTACTCACTTGCTTCTTGTTGACTGACTGATTGGGATTGGGTATTTTGGGATTGTATTGGACCAAATTTAAGAAGGGTTTGGTTGAATTTTTTTTTCCCCTTTCTTTTTCTTTGCACCTCTTTTTACATGGTTAGTTATCTTCAAGACGGACGGAAATATAGACGGTGTTAGTATTATAATCGGGGAAAATATCACATCATATCATATCTGACTAGTAATCTTACCTCGACATCTTCTCACAGCCTCTACGCCAAAACGTTGACCCAGGGTTTGATATAGAGAGATAGGGCTTGACCTGGCTGATATCCCAACATCCTATATAAGAGTGACACACAAAGACCGCATAATTGACTATCACATAAGCATAGCCACTGCACTCAGCACACCTCAATTAAAAAATGAAACAAAGGGTCAAAAAAACAACCACATCCCAACCCGTTTCGCCCACCCCAGAGCGCCCCTCTCCTTCTCCCTCTGCTCCCCATCCCTACCCTCCCCATCACCACTCCCACTCCCACCCCCACCAACAGTAACAACATCACTCCCCACCCACCTATCCGTCACAAAATCCATCTCATGCACCCCCACAAACCGCGACCTCTTCACAACCTTCCACACGCCAAACATAACCACCATGATCGCAATCTCGACGTAATAGGACACAAAGTCGACAGCCTTAAAAGTCGGGCTGAAGCACGACCACCCCTGCACGAGGATCAGCACGCAGTTGAGGCCCACGGCGAGGATCGGCCCGACGGGGTATGTCCAGTTTTTGTAGGGGAGGAGGTGCTCGAGGTTTTGGTGGCGGAGGCCGGCGCGGAAGCGGAGGGAGGCGATGCCGATGCAGGTCCAGGAGAGTTGGTTGGAGACGCCGACGATACTATTATATTATTTATTAGTTGTTTTCTTAATAGGAATAAGGAGGGGAGGAGGGGAGTAGGGGGGAGGGGGAGGTGTAGGAGAAGGGAGAATACTTTTGCAGCCATGTCCATAGTTGACCCGCTCCAATATAACTCGCCCCAAAGCAGAGTCCGCTAATGACAGAGGTTGCCAGAACAGCCACCCACGGGACCTGAAATCTATTCAGTTGAGAGAAGAAGCGCGGCGCGTATCCATCCGTCGCGAGCGTGAAGAGCAGCCGCGAGCCGGCGAAGAGGGCGTGGTTAGCGGCGGAGATGACGCTCGTCATGAGGACGGCATTGATGAAGCTACCTGCGACGGCGCTGCCGGCTTGGACAAAGACGATGGTGAAGGGGCTGGTGGCGGTCTCGCCGGAGGATAGGTCCGGGTAGGTGTAGGGGACGTTCAGGCTGATGATGACGATCGAGATGATGTAGAAGAGGATGATGCGCCAGAAGACGTTGCGGACGACTTTGGGTATGTTCTTTGCCGGGTCTTTGGTCTCACCGGCTGTGACGGCGATGGATTCGGTGCCGCCGCTGTGGTTGTCAATTAGGTATGTGTTGATCCTTGGGGTTGAATTAGAGGGACATACTAGGCGAAGGAGGCCGTGACGAAGACGGATGCAAACCCGCCGATCCCACCGACGAATGGCGCGTCTCCGGTGTAGAAGTAATCGTCTCCCAGATATCGGTGTTCGGTGTTTCCGCCGCAGTTGACCGCAATCCCAACAATGATGAAAATCTGACCGTATGAGTATGCTGGATAAGTTAAGGGCAGGCAGACATACGACGATGGTCACCACTTTGAGAAGGGAAAGCCAGTATTCAATCTGCAGTCATTTTAGATGGCTCTACTTGCGCGATGGTAACAGCAGGACCGCATACCTCGCCGTATACCCGGACGGACATGACGTTTAACGCGATGACCACCACCAAAAATATCAGACTGATCGCCCAGCCGGGAAAGTTGTCCGTCCAGTACTGGAGCAACAGCTGCAGCGCGATGACATCCGAGGCGGTAGAAACGGTATCATTGAACCAGTAGTTCCAAGTCAGCGCAAATCCAAGCGCGTCATCGACAAAACGTCTAGATGAGATCAGTATAGCTCAAGCTTCGCATCAAAAGGCAAGACCCACCCCGCAAAAGTACAAAAAGACCCCGCGACGGGGATGAACGCCGTCATCTCTCCCAGCGACAGCATCGTCACGTAGACGATACCTCCGCAGATGGCGTACGCGATGAGCATAGAGGCCGGTCCACCCGTGGCCAGCGCCTTGCCCGTCCCCAGAAACAGACCGGTGCCGATGGTCCCGCCAATCGCGATCATCTGGACCTGGCGCGCGGAGAGCTTACGGGCTAGTCGGTCCGCATTCACGTAGGAGGCCTCGCCATCAAGGGGTAGAGGCCCTACTGCGGGGTCTAGCATTTTGGGGTCGCCATACCCCAGTGGAGTGGCTGTCGACTGTTTTTCGATGTCGCTGGCGCCCATGTTGGCGGTGTTCAAGTACTTGAACGCGACAGAGAGTCGACAGAATCGCGTAAGATTGGGATTAAGCGTAGCGTCAGCTCAGCGTCCAGGGTGCGATCGCATACGAATCGACGATTGGACGATGCCAACAGGCGCTCGAGGCCGTTACCCAGATGCTGCAGAACCTAGTACCCGGAGTGGTCTAACCCTCGGAACAGCGATGGTAGGGCTGAGCGAACGAGACCCACAGCGGAATGATTGATGGGATAGATGGATGAAGGAAGGGGTATAGAGGCTGATATACAGGGAAGGCTGGGCAAGATTGTGCGATCGCAGGGATCTGGAGGCAAAGACGCCTCTGTTACATTGCCAGGACGTTAGCGGATGGCGTGCTTGCTGAAGGAGGACATCGTGGTGTATTTTTAACCAGTGGATGCAGGAGAGATCGGGTAACGCCGAGTAATTTAATTACCCATGATACTGCAAAGTTAAAACAGCTCCACAACCAGCATGGACCTTTACATCCTGATGTGAATGAGTCGAACGTCCATTTCCCCAGGTCCTGCGCTCTGTCTGTGGTGGAAGGAGATGCCGAGGTTGATCCAAGGTCTATACCACAGAGTATGGATCGACTTCATCGCGATACTGACGCCAGTAGCGACTCATTGAAGACTGATCGGCATATGCACAATCCTCATATGCGACCACATCAGTCAATGCAGGCAATGCAGTCCCCAGTTGATCACTCGTCAGCGTGGCAGCGATTTGGAAATGAGACTGGGCATGAAACATGGGCTGGGATACCCACCCCAAAGTGCCAAGCTTTGCGCCAAGCAAGTTTCCAGTGGTGAGGATACATAATATTTCCTGAATGAAGGGAATCAATGTATTGAAAGTCAGAGACATCCTTAGATGTACAGAAGACAGTCGAGTCTATACAGAACCCGTGATAAGAAGGCGGTCAGGCCGGGCCGAAGTGACAGACTGCGGGGCGCGGGGGTGACCAGAACATTCTCTCTCTCTCGCTCTCTCTCGCTCTTCTCCTTTACAACTTCATCCCATGTCCTCTTCACCTCCTTCGAACTAATCTCCCATCTATCGGTTGTTCCTCTATCGTGGCTTTCATAATGCCCGACTCATCTCTCCCCAATGGCCCCGCTGCCATAGATTCCAACTCAACCACCTCTCACCCGACCGATTCCACGTCAACATCAACCTCGGCGCAAACACCATCCACAGACGCATCCCCATCACACCACCACCAACAACAACAACAACAAACACAACAACAACAAGAAGACAACACAAAACACCCCACAACTTCCACCCTCCGCCTCTCCCTCCCCACCGTAATCGCCCACTGCCACCACCAAGTGCACTCCTTCCTCTCCGAATCCCACCCCCCCAACTCCCTCCTCGCCACAACCCAACACCAAACCCGCACCTCCCTCGCCATCATCAAAGACGCCCTCACCCGCTACCAGCTGCCCGAACTCTCCCTCTCCTACAACGGCGGCAAAGACTGCCTCGTGCTCCTCATCCTCTTCCTCGCCAGCCTCCACCCGCACCCCCCCGCCTCCGCAGGCGGCCTGGCCTCCATCCCCGCCATCTACGCCCTCCCTCCGGACCCCTTCCCGGACGTCGAAGACTTCGTCCGCTGGTCCTCAGAAGCATACCACCTCTCCATCGATAAATTCACGACCGACCCGCCGACCTCGACCCTCCGCGACGCCTTCGATCACTACCTCGCTCTGAACCCCACCATCCGCGCCATCTTCGTCGGAACCCGTCGGACGGATCCCCACGGCGCGAGACTCACGCACTTTGACCCGACTGATAGTGGATGGCCGGATTTTGTGCGCATTCATCCGGTCATTGACTGGCATTATGCGCAGATTTGGGCCTTCATTCGCCATCTTGATTTGAGATATTGTCCGCTCTATGATCAGGGCTATACCAGTCTTGGGGGTACCACTGATACTCTGCCGAATCCGAAGCTGCGCACGGATGGCCCCGACGGGGAGGACGAGTACCGTCCGGCCTATGAGTTGACCGAGGACCTGGAGGAGCGACTGGGCCGGAATTGATCGCCTCATGACCCCGTATATACTCGCATGACCCGGATTCCCCTTCCCTTTTTTTTTCTGTCTTTTTCTTTCTACGGCATCCCCGTCCGACATACTATGATAGATTCTGTATACATTATCATCCCCTTCATTTTGCTACAGCTTGATACAACTGGACTGCAACTTTTGCTTGATTATAATACCTAGACGATGCAGCCACTTTGGCGAGGCCGGGTACCATACACCGTTAGACAGATACAGGAAATATCATTCTCTTTCATCCACCCCCGTGCAATTTCCCCCCTTCCTCGTCGGATCCCGGTGATAGGCATCTCGACTGCTTCGTAACACATGCGGTTCCTAAATGCGATCATTCTGCGGTGATAGAAAGCAACGTCAAAAATTCCAGAGATAACACTTACGGCAAATAAGACATTTCCGCGGAGCTGACTGTCAAACACATCAACGCAACAAGACATGCAGATTCACGGCAAAGATGAAGTTTCAAGTCAATCACGTAAGACAGCAATTTCATAAGCAGCATACAGGTAATCAGAAACAAAAAGCGGATACTCAAGGTAAACTCATGGTAAGTGAGGCACCTGGCCGTCACAGCCCCTCTCATGGCGACTTACATGACCGAGCGAGGAGAATGCACGGCGACTTGCTTGCGTGAAGAAATCGGTGAGAGAGATCCCGATTTCATGTTTTCCTTGCGGGGACTAGATGCCCGTGAGCGGGATTCCGCACATGGCGTGCTGGGGATCGCCGTCATGGATGATCCGCCAGAGGCACTATTGGCCATCCAGGTGCTACGACTGGCTAAGGGCAGACGCCCGCGTTGCAAAGGGGTGCTCGCCAGACCTGCAGGGCTGTTCTTGGCAGACCATGAGTTGTATCGTACATCGCCGGCCTGGTTCCTCACCAGGGGATACCTGCTTCTTCAATTAGTACCGCCTGCCGTTCCAGGTTGTTTTCTTGTACTTACGAAGGGGAAATCGACGTTGCAGGTGTCCAGGGGGGACCCACACCCACTGGGGATGGATAGCTGACCTGGGAATTAGGACTGAGATGCGACGCAGTCTGTTGAAGCCGGTGAAGAGAAGGTGATGGAGTGGACCCTTGGACCACTTCAACCGAGTAATTGTACTCCCCGGCCCGATATGCGCGACGCTCATTGCTTTGCTGCTTGAGCAACTTCTGGGCCTTGGTATCTGCGAACCGCAGTAGAAGCTTCACTCCGTCTTTTCCGACGACGTTGTGGTACTCGTTCAGAACATTTTCCGCAATATCGCGGGTTTCGAACCTGTCAAAAAAAAGGCCGCGAAGTCAGAGATGTGTATGAAAGGCTGAGTCGCACCTGGTTTACTCACCGAGCAAAGCCCACCTCCTTGCTGACCCCAGTCTTTTCGTCACGGCTGATCTTTTCGGAGACAACACGGAACGGTTCGAAATGACGGCGAAGGTCCTATCCGACGGACACGGTATTAGTGAGTCTTCTCCGTTCTGGTCGCAGGTAACCCACAGCTTCGGTCCAGTCAATTGGCAAATTGGTGCAATAGATATTGGTCGAAGCCTTGTCTTCGAGGTCCTTGAGCCGAGAGTTGCGAGATTTCTGTACCTTATCAGCGGCATCACCTATTTGGGTGCTTGTAATGTCATCCCATACCTGGGCAAAGCTGGCTTGATATCCAAGATAGAAAAAGCCTCGGATGCAATTCTCGCAGGACTCAAAGTTGAAGTATTGAACAAAGCCAAATCTTAAGGTTATGTGAGCGGAAATGCTCGATCAAGGGGAAGAGACATTACCCTTTACACAGACCAGTGTCTAAATCGACAATGGCTTTGCATCGATCAATCTTGCCAAAGCGAGATGCGTAGGCGTGCAACATCTCATCCGTGGTCTCCGGAAGAAACCCCCTGATGTAGACATTGGTGATCCCCTCACGATTCTCAAGGCATTTTGCAAGAGTCAGCTCAGACGGGTTGGTCCACATGGCGGGCACAGCTCGGGGAATGGGTGGATCCTGCTGGGTCAGGCTTTCGAGGTCCTGGAGTATGTATCCAGTTGGGGTCTTCATCATCTGGAGGGGCAGACAAGAGGGCCCAATCTGGGGGATGCCGTTGTAACTGAAGCCCGATAGAGTGGAGCCGTCGATGTTGGAAGGGGTGGAACCTGTATAGTACTCGCTCTGGTTGCTCATATCCGAGGCGGACAAACCGTGGCCCTTTTGCTCCTCGCTAGAGATCCACGGACCCCGTTTCTGACCACCCATATCCTGTGGATCACAGTTCATCAAGTAAGGAAAGGGATACCCGGGCATGGTTGCAGTAACCATGGGGCCCATATTCGGATAAATGCTGCCAGGCATATACGGAAACTGGCTGACCTGGTCATGCCCGGGGACCGGACCTGGGGTAAAAGGAGTCACAGGCGGCAATCCGTTGATCATGGAGCCATTTGGCAGGAAGAAAAGAGGGCTATTGTAAGACGTACGCTGGGCACCAGCAAGGTCCAATGCGGGCGGCACCGCCACGGGCATGTTATTCTTGACATTGTTGTACTTGGACCCGGAACGTTGGGTTTGGAGGTTCAAAGAGTTGAAGATTGGTGCCAGGGAAGTTCCGTTTCCATCACGGTTGTTACCAGCTAAGACCTGCTGGTATCCGGAAGTATAGGAGCCACGGGTGTCGGGGGCGCATTGGCTAGTCTGACCGGTCGGGCCCTGACTAGGCTCCGAGCCAGAATGCTGCTGGCTGTGCATGGTCATCGCGCTGGACATAAGTCACTGGGAGGTTAGCCACAGAATCCAATGCCAGAAGAGATAACAAGGGGAGGGCTTGAAGAGAATTGTCATGGATGAAGAGATGAGAGAGACATTTCTGTCTGCGTGTAACGTCGATATTATAGTCTCAAGGGAAAGGAAGCTCATTGTAGACGATGAGAAACGTACCTTGACAATTGGGACCAAAACCAATCACTATCAGATCCAGTCAGTCAGATTCCATGGAGGACGTCTACAGACTTTGACAACAATAACAAGACGAGAACACTAGGACCAAGCCAAACTCACACTATTTCAAGATGAAAAAACCGTAAAGTAAACAGAGTGGCACTGAAAGCTCTGACAGACCAGATATAAAGGCAAACGAAGGTAAACAGACGGGGAATACTGAAAAGGAATAAGGTAAAAGGTCAACAGGGTCGAAGGATGAGAGGATTGAAGAGAGAAGAGAGAAAAGGAGCAGACAAGAGAGAAAGGGTGAGAGATGGGAGAAGAAGAAAAAGGAGGAAAGAAGTCCATGGAAGAGAAGGACGGATCGGGTGCAATTGAGGAAGGAACCATGAGGAGGTGAGAAATGTACTCAAACGGAAGGAGGTCGCCTACCGAGGCTGGGATGATCCCATAGATGATCTATACTCGAGTTGTTGCTCCTAGTGGTGTTATGCTACCTTACCAGGCAAGGGTGTGATGGAAGAGAGGGGCTTGAGAGTGAGAGAGAACAATGCAGTGTCAAAACTTGAAGTTTGATAGTTGCTACTTGCATAATAGTAGATAGGCATAAATAGCGAGAGACCGTGACTTATGCAACACCGTGCCATTGATAAGCCGCACTTGCAATGTACGTCAATGGCAGGATACAAGCCATAGGAGGCTACTTCTATATCGTCTCCGCGTTCAAGTCAATCAATTGTTCTACCACTTCGGACGGATGAAATATAACAATAGCTTATGTGAGATATAACCAATCAGACCGAAACCAAGAGGATACCTAGAGATAGAGTGTAAAGCACGCCGACATGCACGCTAGTAATGGAGACAATAGAGACAAAGAGACCAAGTCTTTCAATGGTCAACTCTCATTCTGACTTATCCTGGAGCCACTTATACACCACAGAGAAATCCTTCCCACTGTGCGCCTCCTCCACCGTCCGATAGACGTCCCGGGCTTGGTCACCAAGAGCGAGAGGGGTACCAGACTCCTCTGCAGCCGTAAGTGCCAACCGGAGGTCCTTGTTCATAAGGCTAATCCCGAATCCACCCTCGTAGCCCCGCGAGGCCGGTGCCGTCTCAACAACGCCCGGGACAGGGTTGTTGACCTCCATCGGCCAACAGCGTCCGGTAGAGGCGCTGACCAGTTGGGCCAACGCCTTGGGGTCGAGACCCCAGCGAATGCCCAAATTCATGGCCTCTGCCGTGGCAATGTTGTTGATGGCCAGGATGTAGTTGTTCGCCAGCTTGGCAGAAACACCGGTCCCTGGACCTCCCATGTGCCACGTGGTTTTGCCCATGTGCTTCAGAACCGCCTGGACCCGCTCCACCAGCTCCTCGTTCTCCGGCGAGGCGCCGAACATAAACGACAGTGTACCAGCACGGGCACCGACGACTCCACCGGACATCGGTGCATCGACAAAGCGACCTTGGCCTGTTGTGTGGACAGCGTTGGCGACCTCCCTAGAAGAGGCAGGGTCGATGGTTGATGTGTCGATGAATAGCCGCTCCCGGTCTAGAGCGGGAAGCTCGCCGGGCTTTAGAATAGAATTGAAGACATGCTTGACATGCTGGGGTTCCGGCAAACTCGTAATCATTACTGACTTGAGATATCGTCAGCGTAACGTCCACGGATAGAATCCAACATGTGCGCGGCTTACCGACTGCTCTGCGACCTCCCGCGCATCTTGAGCAATCAAAACCTTCGCAGTATCTTCTCCAGCACCGTTGCTCTGAGCTTCTTTCCGGGCTTCCTCAACGAACCGCGCGGCAGTCTCCTCGTTTACATCGCGAATAACCAGTGTATCAGCTGCGGGGATCTTGGCGCGGAGATTCTTAGCCATATGATAGCCTGGTTGAACAACAGTTAGACCCAGCAAATCATTCAGAAAGGATGAGAGAATGAACATACCCATCTGCCCCAACCCCACAAACCCCCAGGTATCATCAAGTCTCCTTGACGTCGCAAACCCCCTAGGCAAAAACGCAAGCTGCGAAACGCGGGGAACAGCCGGCGCAGACTTGGGAACCGTCGCTCTCCGCAAGGAGCGCGACAAAGCGGGCGAGAATCTCATTCTGCAGATAAATAGATAGATAAACGATAAAATAATAATTAAATTACTGGAAGGGAATAAAGTATCGTTGTGTTAGTATTATACAGTCCAGATCAGATTCAAAGAGTTGAAAAGTAGCTCGGACAAGACCCCGGGTTTCGTTTCGTATAGGAAAGCGGACTTCCTCGCTCCCTTGATCCGGCGCGGCGG